AGGAAGCATAGTATCATGGAAGCTAAGGAAGAAGAGAATATTCAGAAGGAGAAGGTAGTCTAAAGTGCCAAATGCTAAAAAGTTACCAAGGAGAGTGAGGACCAAGAAAGGCCTGACATGACTTTCTGGTAAAAGAGATCATTTCTTCCACAGCTGTTGCCAGGCCAAGACATTGGACAGATGTTTTCAGCAAGAACACAAAGCTTTACACCCTCAGAAACCTCCAGCTTACAAGAGAAAAAGAAGACTGCACACTAAAATATCTATTAAGTTCCTCAGCAGATAGTCAAAACAGTCATAACATACTTTAGCACATCTAGCAAGCTGATAGACTTTTGGATTCTCTTGGGAAACTGATTAGTGATATTTTCCCCATTTACATAAAAGAAAAATTAATAGTACAAACAGGAATAACTCAAAGGCCAGGAAATAAAAATTATTCGTGAAGTTAAACTGTAATATTTCATCAATCACTCTTCTGAAGAAAGAATATATTCTTTAATATATTCTTCCTGCCAATTTGGCTGCCTAAATGGGAGACAGACTGCTGAGTTCACCTATATCTATTCTAGCAAAACCCTTTCTCACCAGACTAAAGATAAAAAAAAAAAAACCCAAAGAGAAACAATAGAAAGTGGCTTCTTCCACCCCAGAACTGCATAAAAAGTAATCTGGAAGCTCATAAGCAATAGGAAAAAGGGGTCTCCCCAAGCAAAGTGAGTAGCAGTGTGAACAAAGACAGAACATGTGTAGCCTGCAACAGTCAGTGTCTGGAGGCAGCAAGAGCAGAGGGCTCCCCTAAGAAAGCCCCAGAAGAGGTAACCAGCAGCAACTGGTGACCAGTAACAGGATGTTACAAGAAATCACAAATGAAAACTGCCTCGATCTGTTAAAACCAGAAGGAAAAATAAAGATACAAAAAAATCTACTGATCATCTCCTGAAACAGTAAAAGGAAAAGTCCTATCACAAAATCCAGAGCTCTCACATCGAAGGGAAAACACTGCAAGCATTCAGAAAGCAGTTCAAGTACCAAGAGAACTACAATCAGGGTCACCGACTGGTACCAACCAGCATGATGCTACAATGCTCAGACAAAGCTAGGCCATGCCAAGAGACTCAGATTCCTAATATCATCTAAATTCTCCTTTTTCCATTAGCAACTCAGCTTATTTCTGACTCCACAGAACATCATGCCTCCCCTAGGATAAGCTGGTCACCTAAAATCTCATCTCACTATGCTGATCAGTTTTTGACACTCAACACCTCCTCAACTCCCTCAGTTCCCTCCCTGCTCTGACTGGAGGTCTGGAGGGTGAAAAAATAAATTCCTCTCAAAAGCTTCCTTTATGGAGAGCACAATCAGATCAGAATTTTCCAGGTAACTTTCTATTTTCCATCAGCAGCTCTACTTGGTTTCAACTCCAGGGAACATTGTGCCTGCCCCAGGATAAACTGATCGCCTAAAATCTCATCTCACCATCTTGATCGACTCAGTTTTTGACACTCTAGAAGAATTAAGCAAGAGACTAAACATGAAATAAAAGCTCTGGAGGAAAGATTGAAAAGATAAGTATCTTGGGGGGAGGGGGAGAGAGAATGCTAAAACCTGAGAAATGGAAATGAAAATTAGAATAGACCAAATAGAAGTCAATGACTCCATGAGACAACAAGAAATATTATGACAAAATCTAAAGATTGAAAAAAAATAGAAAAAAGCATATGTAGTATCAAAAACAACTGACCTGAATGACAGGTGAAAGAAAGATAATATAAGAAGTATTATACTCTCTGAAAAGCATTATTTAAAAAAAAAAAGCCTGGACATTATATCAATTACAAGAAATCACAAATAAAAACTGTCCAAATCTATTAGAACCGGAGGGGAGAATAAAATCCATTAATTATCTCCTGAAACAACAAAAGAAAAAAATCCCAGAACTGTCACAGCCAAAATCCAGAGCTCCTCCATCAAAGCAAAAATACTCCAAGAATCCAGAAAGAAATAGTTCAAATAAGAACCGGCCATGATCAGGATCATAGCAGCTTCTCCTGCTACTTGAAAACAAAGAAAGAGGCTCGAATACAATATTCCAGAAGGCAAAGAATACAGTCTTACAAACAAAAATAATTTACTCTACTAAAACTAGTATAATCCTACAGGGGGAAAAAATCTACCTATAATGGAAGACTTAATGGATTCTTTAATGGAAGAGCAGAGCTGAGTAATAACCTTGAAATAAATAATAATAATAAATAAAAACAAAGTCCAAAGAAATCTAGAAAGGTATATTTATTTCAGCAACTGGAAGGAGCTATACAGTGAGGTAACCCTAACATTCTAACATGCAGAAGAACAAATGTCCCTTCTTAATGTCAACGTTTTCAAAGGACATTGAGAGATAAAAAAGAAAAATAGAGATCTTGGAGGTGAATTGGTTCTTTTCTGGAAGTCTGAAGAGGAAAAACAAGAAAGGGGTTAAAAAGGAATACACTAGCAAAAGAGAGTAGAACTTGGTATTTCTCAAAATTGGGGTGTGTAAGAATATACAAACATGGAGAGAGGGGTGGAGACATGGGCATCGGGTGAACCTCGTATCCAAAAAGGACAAAAGAGGATTAAAAACAAGTTAGTACAGAAATACATTGAACTCAACAGCAAAACAAGTAGGAATTGGAGGTGGGAGATGGTTAAGAGACACACTAGGCAGGGAGGCAAGAGTCACAAGCAAGACAAACCTCCTGATCCTGAATGGAAAATTAAAAGGGAGGGGAAAAAAAAATCAAAGAACCAGAATCTAACAGGGTACCTTAGATGAGCTCTTAGACAACTGAGGAATGGCTAAACAAATTGTAACATATGAATGTGATGGAGTTTCTGTCATAAAAATTGATCATAAAGAGGTCATTTCAGAAAACCCTGACACAAGTGAGGTGAGCATATCCAGACCACTTTACACAAGAACAGCAATATTACAAAGAAAAACAACTTTTAGAATACTTAAGAACTCTGATTAACCGCATCTCCAGAGGACCTATGATGAAGTATGCTACTAAATTCCAAGCTACGTAGACATAAGTTTTTGGACTTAGCAACCATCTGGATTCATTTGGTATAGCTATGCTTATTTGTTACCAAGCCTTTTCTTTTCTCCTTTAGTTTTTGATTGAGGGTAGGCTGTGGGTGTTGGCAAAATACAAAACTTTGACACAAAAAAAGGAAGGCCAGTGAAGCAGATATAAGTGGGACAGTTTTGAAAATATGTAGAATTTATTACATAATTTTATTTTTTAAAGCAAGAAGTATGAAATGGAGATTCATGGTTTCATATAGAATGCATTTCTTGTGTTCAGATATTGGAAGAAATGCTTTTTTTTGGTATTTAAATTCAGAATTTTAAAATTTCTTCAAAAAAAGAAAATAGTGTGATAAATTATGAAGTATGATGAGGAAATTACTGTAAGATAGGCTGTTAGATTTGCTTGTTAAGCAAAGTCCACAGCTATACCACATCTTGTTATTTCCATCTTCAGGCTTTTGCTTGTCCTTGGCAATGAAACTTGGTAATTCAACTGGTTTTAAATTATATATTAAACAAATCACTCTGAGGGAAAATTCACTCAGAAGCCCCCAAAACTTTTTGCATGATATTTCTAAATAAAACATATTTAAGAGAAAATTTTAAAAAATCAATCATCAACAATTTATTAAGTGCTTATTATTAACTCCCCTATAAAGCAGGCAGCTAAGTGGTACAACTGAATCTGGATTCAGGAAGACCTGAGTTCAAATCCAACCCCAGACACCTATTAGCTATGTGACCTTGGGCAAGTCATTTAACCTCCGCCTGCCTCAGTTTCCTCAACTGTAAACTGGGGATGAGGATTAAATGTGTTAATATTTGTGAAGTGTTTAGCATGGTGCCTGGGTCATAGTCATTGTTTGCCCTTTGTTTTCAAAGAAAACCAGTGACACCATAAGGTGATGTCTTGTGTATGAAATGGATTTAAGTGATGTAGAGCTGCACAAAGTTGTTAGCCTCACTCTCTCTTCCAGAATCATCGAAGTCCAGTGGCAAGACAAAAGCCAAGATGAGTGGCAATGACCCATGATGCAATGGATGGCCTTGGAATCTTTGGTGTCTCACCAGGCTCTAAGAGTTCCACAACTTCACAGCCATTGAAACAAATTGTTCTCATCCACCTGTTCTGCAGGGGGGAAGTCTTCCCATGCTTGGAGAAGACACCCCCCTAACTCACTGAGTTGATTGTCTTCAGCATGGTCAGCCCAACCGCTGAGATAGTTTACCAGGGTGCGGCCACTGTGCACGCTACAGCTTCTCGGAGCCACAGCTGACCTCTGAGTGCCAAGCAGACACCAAAGGTGGATGAGCAACCCTGAAAAGGACTCAGCAAGCCCTCACATCAGAAATGCTCTTCCCCCCCCCGAACAGCCCATACACCCCCTTTGCACATTAAACACATATAGGTGTTTAATGGATACTTGTTTCCTTCCTTTCTGTTTTCCCAAGTCCTGTTCCAAGTACTGGGCATACAAGACAAAAGTGAGGACAATCCCTGTCCTCAAGGAGCTTACATTCATTCTAACAGGAAAGACAACAAGGATTCACAAATAAGTGAACAAAGAATATATGCATACTAGCCATGTTTCTCTGGGCAAGTCACTTAACCCCAATTGCCAGACAAGACGAGACGAGACGAAACAAGACGAGACAAGAAAATTTGCAAAATGCATACAACGTAGTTTTGCTAAGGAGAACACTCATGGCTGAAGGGTCAGAATGCAGTTCCTACAGAAGGTGGTATTTGAGCAGAGTCTTGACCAATGAAGATCTAGCCACAGAGTGTGTTAAACTTCATCTTTACCAGGCCTAGGCAAAATTATGTCAGTGCCTTCCACCCTCCAAAGTCTCCAGCCTTGGAGACACCTATTACCATGTTCCCCAAGAACAACTTAATCCACACAAAAAATGGTTTATGTATAAATCATTTTATTTAGAAATTGCACATATTCACAAGGATATCTCCTTAAAACATATTATGAATTATTCTTAAGGAACACAAATAGAGAAATCTGGGAAACTGTTTTACACCAAAACAAATATTTCAAAAGTAGTACAAATATTACTAACAACTTTTTTATTTAAACATACTTCATAAAACAGCAATTTTTAAAAAGTATCAGCTCCTGAGGAGTCTGTATCTCCCTGTATCGTACTGATGTTCTGAGAGTGAGAGTGGTCGTCCACATTCACTGAAGGCAAAGTCACAGACATCTTGGCAAATGTGGCCTGTGACGTTAAATGTGGTACTGCTTCCCCTCCTGCAACAAAGAGAAATTCCATTCAGCTCAACAAGTATTTATTAAGATGTTTACTTCTTTTTTTTTTTGGCTAGGCAATGGGGTTAAGTGACTTGCCTAGGGTCACACAGCTAGTTAAGTGTTATGTGTCTGAGGCCGGATTTGAACTCAGGTCCTACTGAATCCAGGGCCAGTGCTCTATCCGCTGCGCCACCTAGGTGCCTCAAGATGTTTACTTCTTCATTTTGAGTTTTTTCTACCTGGTGGTAGGTAGAAAAGATGTACAGGACATGGCCTGCTCCCTGATCTCAAACTACTTATAAACTTATCTAAAGACACAATACACCTCAAACAACCAGAGGGAAACAAAAAACAGTAACAATATAACCAACAGCCAACATATGTAGCAAAGAAAATAAAGGCAACAGAAAAAACAAAGTCCAACATCAGCAACTTCAACAGCGCTAATACAACGTTTTGTAGTAAAAGACACACAGAAAAAAACAAATATTCCAAGGCACAACATATAAAGGTCATTCAGTCAGGTAGAACAAGGTACAACTACCCCACAGATCTGTGTCCTACCCTGCCTTTGTAATTAAATATCAACAAAAAATAGCAGTAGACGTACCCTTTTAATTATCGTGTGTGTGTGTGTGTGTGTGTGTGCGTGTGTGTGTGCGTTCTGCCTAAGGCAATATTAAAACTAATTTCATTAAACTAAAAATAGTTTGAGAAGAGGTGTGGTACAGTAGAAAGCATGCATGAGACTTGGGTTCAATTACCAACTCTGATATTAACTCAGTTTCTTCATCTGTAATACTCAAATAATAAAAATTGTGGTAGCTATCTCAACCGACAATGAAGACCAAATGAGAGTACATGTTAAATACTCTTCAAACCTTAGAGGGCCACTATAATGTCAGCTGCTGCTGCTGCTGCTACTACTATTACTCACCCTGTTGTTCTCATCTTTTTCAATGGAATTTAGAGAGAGACAATCCTAAGACAAGTCGCTATCCTGTTATTATTCTTCTGTCCTGTTTTTAACATTCTGAGGATTACTATGCAGGTGAATAACCACTGCTTGTAGCTAATAATAACAAAGCCAATAATTGAGAGTATCAGGAGGTAGCAGACAGGATGACGGGAATGGTATGGAAGTATTTACAGATTGTTTTCTAGCAAAACAAGCTATTAATGCTTCATATAAAATATATACACACATAACTGGACCATATTTGGAGGGTCTGCTGGTGTGCTCAGCTTCTGAAGTTGCTCGGTGATACCTTCTGTTTAGAAAGACGGGCTCAGGCCTGCATGTGAGGAGAGGGTAATGTGCTTTGCTAGCCATCTGTATGCTCGTGAGAGCCACCAAAGATGTCACCTAAACCACTGCTTTCCAGTTCTGTGAAGCACCTGGAGTTTCAGTTGCCTCCCTTGATGTAACTGTTCTGTCATTCATTATACTAATGTCAGGCAAACTTTCTGGTTTTTATTTAATTTAATTCGTATTTTTCTTGTGCTGGACTTCTTGTGACCACATAAACAACCATTAATTTTCTACACGCTCCTCTTCCTTCGAAGTTCCTTTTTTTTTTCCCTTCGGCGTTTTAAGCCTCTGAAATAGAAGCTTTGCATTGGTCTTTACACTGCTTTGACTCTCGTATTGCCTTAACCTTTTAATTTTTGCTTTCAATTACTAATTAAGAGAGTCTAGAATTTCTGATATGCTTCTGCATTCTGTTCTGTGTATTTCTTTTTTCATGCCTTTAATTGGGTGATTTAGCATCTGAGTTTTCTACTGCATGTACCATTCATACTGATGTGATCCTCCAATGCCTTTCTTCAAAAGCACTCTCTGGGAGTTCATGCCCTCCTGGTGCTTGACACCTGGAGAGAGCCATCTTTTTCCCAGTGGTTTTTACTGCGTCAACAGGCGTAACATACTGTTGTATGTACGTTCTGAAATAGTTTACACTTTCTGTCATACATTTCTTCTCACACAATCACCCCTTCATTCAGACCTTCACCTCTCTTAGGCTACCACAACAGCCGTCTAACTTTAGGTCCCTCCCCACTAGAATACAGCCCCCACTCTGCTGCCAGGGTGATTTTTCTAAAATGTCGGTCTGACCATATCACCCCCTGATCAATGAGTTCTAATGGTTCTCTATTACCTCCAAGGTCAAATAGAAAGTCCTCTGCTTATTATAGCTCTTCATAACTTCTATTTCTCATCTCCATACTTTTGCATTGGCTGTCTCCTACACATCTCTACCTCTTGACCTTCCCTACCTTCTTTCAAGACCATCCAAATATCAACTTCTGCAGAAGACTTTTTCTTGTCCCCCCAGCTGCTAACTTATTCCTCTCTCAGTTTACCTACTATCTACTCTGTAGATACCTTGTTTAGACCAAGTGATTTACACATTGTTGCCCCTCTAGAACACAAGTTCCTTGAAGGCAAGGACTGTTTTCACCTTCCTTTGTCACTTAGAACAGTGCTTGCAATATAGTAAGTGTTTGTAGACCGACTTATCCAACAGGTTTCTTTTCTCTCTTTTACATTTAAGTATAGTAGTTTTAAATGATAAAATACCATTATTTTAAAATATAAATTAAGGAAAGACACTCAATTTCAACTACATTTCTAGTTATTTACTGATGTTTCCGAAGGAACAAAACACAAGCTCAATCATTAAACAAATACTTGTTTTAAATATATAATTTAAGATAAAAATAAAATAGCTTCTATAAAAAAGAGTAAATGTCCAGGCACCTGCAAAAACAATTCCAACTCTTTTCCCTTTTGAAAGCAATAGTTAATGAGAATGATTTGTTTCTTCTTATGCCAGATTCCAGCTGCTTCACTATGTTTAAAACTGACTTCAAAGTTTAAACACTGTCCTATCCCAACAATAACCTCCCCCAGATGGAATTATATCAAGTACCATCCTCAATGTTCTGAATACCACACCTGCAGCCCTTTAATTCAACATTTTATACACTTACAAAAGGAAAATGATATATTTTTTTTCTCTTCCCCACTTTGCGTATTTTTGAAGCATGCAGTAAAGCACACAAAAGGAAGCTTACACCTGGGCTGTATTTACAGACTTTTCAACAGAAGGAAAAAAGCGCTGGAATTTGAATCTCTTATTATATGGATGATCAAGAGAAAACATCATAAAAGAAATGAAATTATCTGAATAACCTAAGTTCGAGTAATCTTTTCAAGATATCCCTTACCTGCAAATAAAGAAGTAAGGTAATGATTAGGTTCGATATGTGTCCGATCCATGTCTCCTAGTGAATCTATTTAAAATAATAATGATTATGATCATGAATATAATGCATTTAGTTTAGACATATCATTAGATATAGAAATAAGCATAATTTATGCTGATGTTTTAAATTCTCTGATAATTATGACTCTTCTAAATCAAGGCAAATAAATGACTACTATTGTGGATGCCTTAATTTTAAGTCAAATATCATAATTTTAATGATAAGCAACAGAGAATCATTTTGACTAATTTTTCTTCGTGTATCAAAAAAAGAGACAAAAGGAAGCAAAAAGACCATGACAGAATTGCAATTTGCATTAAAAAATAGTACTGTTTAGGCAACAGTTTTCCCAAGATACCTTCCCCAAATGCATAACAGTTTCATTTAAGGACCTAATAGCCAAGTAGAAATACTGCTATATCCTTCTCCCCATGCCAGCGTAAAGTACGTTTCCCAAGATAATTTACCTATAACCACACCAAAAAGAACTGTCAAGGACAACGGGAAAAAAAAAACAAATAAAATTTAACTAATAAACAACCTGGAGAAGTACTATAACATAGAGAACAGAGAAGTGGCCTCAGAGCCAGCAAGACCCAGGTTCAAGTCCTGTCTTGGACACACAGTGACTGCACAACCCTGGGCAAGTCACTTAACCTCTCAGTGGCTCTGGCAGAGGAAGGGGCTGATCTTCCTTAAAAGAAGTTCTCCCTTGGGTATTCCTTCCACTGATGAAATTAAAGGTCTAGTGAAAAAAAAAATTCTAAATCCGTATTTTATCAACTTTCACGTTTATGTGAGGTAAACAGACTCAAGGTTGCCATCTTGTGGACTTTGGAAGGGGGAAGGAATATAAAACAGAAAGTTTAAAGGTTCTCCAATCAGGAATATACTTTCAGCCTGCAATTCTATACCCTATCTGTGCTGAATATACAATTATATCATAAAATTCTAAAATACAAAGAGAACATACACTCTTTGAGGACAGAGATTGTTTTTATTTTTATAGCTCCAGGACCTAGTCCAATGGCTTCGTTAGAAAAGCTCAACAATTTTTAAAAAATAAATAATCAGTAAATGTATGATGATATGGAAGCACACGTTATGATACTACATAAATTAAATTCAAGTATTTGTTAATTTCACAAATCAAGCAGCAAGTTTTAGGTAAAGATATCATGTCGTTAAATTAATACAATGTTAATTACTATTAAAATATTAATATAGCATTACCTGGTTTCTAAAAGACAGCAAGATGGTCTTATTATAAAGCAATTAAACTTTAACAGTGCTCAATTATTAAATGTCACAAGAGGAAAAATTATTTTTCAAGTGAAAGTAGTATATTAAAGAAATGAAATGTACTACAGATCTATGAAGAAAACTAATCTTTAAAAGTAAAAATGTTTTAAGCCTTAAAAAAGTTTTAAAGAAACTATAACTTTGCAGGAAACTATATCTCCTTGCTACCTTGGGTAAAGGTAAGAGACCATGGGCATGTAATACTGCATATACTGTCAAACACAGTTGATGCATTGGTTAGTGTTACTGAACTGCTTATTTTTCTTTTTTTTTTGTTACTAAGAAAGGTTCACTGTGTAGGGGAAAGTCAAATATTCAGAATAATGTAAAAATAAAAAATACCAACACAAATAAGATTTTTTAAAAGAACGAGACAAAATCAAATGTGCCTTTGATAGCTATAAAACATAAGGATGGTGTACACAGTTCATGGATAATTTGCAAACAATAGATTAGAGTGAAACAAGCAAATCTGAAATAATTAGTGAAAACTTTATATACATTATGATTTTAATAGCATATTCAACACTAGAAATTATTTCCAACACTCAAACATCAGATCTAGAGATAACACATGAAGGAGAAAAACTATACCTTGAAGCCTCCCTCTTAATAGTGGTATTCTTCTATCTTTCACCTCATGCATAATGAAAAGAAAAGAATACATGTATAAGCACTCCCAGCCTCCTTAATTCAATGGTGAGCTGCTTATTTGGCAATAAGCAAGGGAAACAAACAGTACAGTATAACAGAAAAATGCCTTGTGGTCAGGATCATGTGGGTTCACGGATAGGCTCTGATTCAATTGGCTGGGTAAATTAATTCTGTGAAAGTCATCTAACTTCTTGAAACATACCAGGCAACTGTCTAAGGCTATAACCTAGAGAACAGTTGTAGATCTGCATGGGTAGATGGGAGCTCCCTAGAAAGATGAAATCACAGATCCAGTAAAAATTGTAATGTGTTGACCCTTTTGGAACTTTCTTACTGTAAGACTAGAACTCAAAGAGACATATGAAACTGAGTGGGAAAAAGGCATATGAAACTAGGTGGGAAGAAACACAATGTACTTATAGATTTGAAAGTGGCATGAAGAATTAGTATTCACGGGGCACTGAACAAGTATGGAGCACTTATAGTAGATGCTGTGGGAGATTACAAGACAAAGAAGAAAAATACGTCATAAACTGTCCTTCAGATTGTTGGAATCTAGCAACAGTGATTAGCAGATGAAAAGAAGTTTCACTATTCTTAATCCTTGCTGCTGAATGGGGAAATACTAAAAAAAAACTTCCTAGTTTGACAAACACTACTAAATATGAAAATCTCTTTACATAAAGAAAAAGAGGATTGCATATGAAATCTTGAATCTCAAGTAGAGACAGCTTAGATTTTTACAGAACATATTAAATCTAACACAGGAGTTTCAACACTACCTTGCAATGCTGTATCCCTTTCTGAACTTCTGCTCTCCTCTGTGTATTTTTTAAATATTTGAGTGATGCTGTCTTTTTTTTTCTGGGTAATCTAATCATTTTATTAATAATGTCATCATTTTAATAAAAGGATGGTCATTTGGCCATCTCTATTACCCAATGATCCCTCTTGGCAATGGATTCACAGTTCATATGCTCTTGGAAGAGCAGATGTTCCTTAGGGTGGCAATCAACTCTGACTGGTTAACAATTAATGAAAAAAAGAATATTACAATGAGAGGGTAGGCATATTACAATGAGAGGCTTGGAGTACTTGAATCACTCAAATCTTAGTCAAAGAGACGTCAATTTCCGTATCATCTATCTGACAAAAGGGAGGATACACATTTTCCCAGATCTGTCTGAATAAACAACACAATGAGCAAGGATGCACCCATTGGACTAAGCTTAGAATTTCTTTTACTGTCTGATTAGATCTTGGCCTGAGTAAATTTCTGCCTAAGATTTCCCAGATGCTCTCTTTTTGGGATCACTTTTACTCCTTATCATAAAACTTCTGTTTACCACTCCCTCCAAAAAAAGTTCCCCCTTGTAACAAATAAGTATGTTAAGCAAACCAAACTATTACATTGGCTATATCTGAAAAGGAATTCCTCATTCTGAACCGCTAACATTTCACCTTTCTGCAAGTGAGTGGGAAGCTCAATTCAGCTTTAGTCTTCTGGTGTCATGATTGGTCATTTTAATAATCAAAGTTCTCAAGTCTTCGGCCAGTGCTTCTCGTTCTGTTTTTCACAATGTTGTAGCCACTGCAGAAGTTGTTCTGGCTCTGCTCATTCCGCTCTGCAACAGTTCATACAAGTCCTCCCAGGTTTCTCTGAATGTCTTGCCTTTTGCCATTTCTTAAAGGGCAATAATGTTACTATATACACACACCATAATTTGCTCTGCAAATCCATCTGGTTCTTTTCCTTGTTTCTTTGATCTCTGTGAAGCATATGTTAGCAGTGGTGTCTCTGACTCAAAGAGAATACGTATTTCAGTGACTTTGGAGGTAATAACTCCAAACTGTTTTCTGGAATAGTGAGACTACTTCATAGCGCATTAATGCCCCCCACAATCCCTCAAACAAATGTCATTTCCATTTGTCATCTTTGCTGATCTGACAAACACAAAGTAGAACCACAGAGTTGTTTCAATTTGCATTTCTCTTATTATTTGTGATTTGGAGGATTTTTTTTTCATATAGCTTATTGACAGCTTCTATTTCTTCTTTTGAAAACCACCTGTTTAACCATTTACTTTTGGGAACCAGCTCTTGCTCATATATTCGAATCAATTCCCTATGTATCTTGATCATCAGGCCTTTTTCAGAGAAGTTTGTTGCAAATACTTCGTTCCAGTTAGTTACTTCCCTTCAAATTCTAACTGCAATGATTCAGGGGGAGGAGGGAATCTTCCACTTTTTTGTAATGTTTATTTTATCTCCTGTGATCCTTTCTATCCCTTGTTTGATCATGAACTCTTCCCCATTCAGAGCTGTGAAAGGTATCTCCTTCCCTTCTCCTCTAAATTGTTTATAACGTGGCCTATTTTTATACCAAAGTCATGTATGCATTTGGAATTTATCACATTAAATGTGAAACAGTAGTTTAAACCTAATTCCTACCAGAATGCTTTCCAATTTTCCCCCAGCAATTTTTATAGAACAGTGAGTCTTTACCCCAGTAGCTAGGGTCTGTGAGTTTTTGAACAAATGTTACTATCAGTCATCAATCAATAAACATTTATTAAGCATCCACTATGTGCCTGGCACTTGGGATACAAACATGAGAGATGGACTAATCTCTATTTGCAAGGACCTTACATTCTAAAGAGAGAGATAAGGATATAGGTAAGCATATGCAAAATAAACATATGGAGAATAAATACAAAATAACTGCAAGACAAAACAGTTTGAGAGGAGGGGCCCTTGTAGTTGAGGGAATCAGGAAAGGCCTCACATTTAAGGTGGTAGTTGATTTCAGCCAAGCAGATACAGCTAAAGCATAAGATTGGAGATAAGAAGGGGCAGCTAGATGGCACAGTGGAATGGGCCCTGGAGTCAGGAGGACTTGAGTTCAAATTGGGCCTCAGACACATAATACTTCCTAGCTGTATGACTCTGGGCAAGTCACTTAAACCCAATTGCCTCACCAAAAAAAAAAAAAAGATTGGAGATAAAAGTGTCATGTGTAAGGAACAGAGAAAAAGCCAGTTTGGCTAGATTAAATAATTTAACATTTATTA